TTTTGAAAATAAACTGAACAACACGTGAAGCTACATTTTTTAAACCATCATCAGTGACCTGGGTCCCTATTTTAAATACCTAAGTTTAAGTTATTGTGCAAGTTTTGATTTGTAGCATTGCCTTACAGCACTTCTTCGGCACGGTTGTGCATGTTAGCAAAACTGCTTTGTGTATGTAGTACTTGCATAATTAAATATGCCACATCTTTGATTTTATGTTAAGTGCGCCAACAGTTTATTCTTTGCAAATAAAAAACTTCATTAAACATTCAGTTGAATGGGAACGAAATATTTGTTTATAAATGTTGTTGTTTTAGCACTTTAATCAGTTGTACATCATTATTTTTTTTTTTTATGGAGTCAAATATACCTTGATGTCTAAATCGAAGAATGCTGTATCTGTCATCAAAATGGATCATTGAAGATTGTAAAATTTTGGGACACAGACATACGTTTACCCCTTGGAGGATACCCCCTCCCCTCCGGACCTGCCTACGATTGGGCCTATTTCTAAGTGTTTAATTTTGATGATGACTCTGCAGTATTAAATGGTAAATGATTGAACTTGTATAAAATAGGCCTAATTTTTTTTACTTTTAGCATTCATTTCACTGTGTTAAAAAACCCTGAAGTTAAAACTTTCTCGGCAAATGTTTTGAGTGCATATTCTGAATCTAGATTCAGTACTGTATGTATGTGTACAATGAAGGGAAACGTGCATCAAATACTACCAACAATTTGTGTATGCACAAATCCTATCTGTATCTGTGCATACTACATTGTGTACAGTGTGGGCCACTTATTATAATAATTTGCCCTCCAGTTGGTGTGGAAACTCTCAGAGGAGTGCTTATTACTGTGTAGCTTGAACTTAGCTGACCCAGAGTCAGTGCATGGTAGTTTGGCATTACCATGCCCGCAGACCACCTGTTGGTGACCTAGGTTGACTGTGGACATATCACAATTGGCAAGTTTTAGGAGGCGTTGAGTGATTAGACTGATACTTATCCCCATAGGAGACATGTTCCCATTAATCTTCTCTTCGAAAAGGATGTGGGATTTTGAGAGAATTTTAAATGGGAGAAATTCGTAATGATGAGTTTCATCAGCAAGAGGGTGAGATTTAAACGTCATACTAAATAATACTCACTTTCAGAAGGCGTGTGCTGCAGCCGAAAGCTTCTGAAGGAATGCAGGATCACCCCTGATGTCATTGCACACCTCCTCGATCGTGTGTTGTGCTAAACGATAGTTGAGGTGTGCAATGATATCAGGGGTGATCCTGCATTCCTTCAGAAGCTTTCTGCCAACGTCCTCAGCGCTGTATCGACATTTTGAAAGTGAGTACATGTATTTTTTTCACAACCTCTTGCACAAAGCTGATAAAATTCACTCCATAAAATTTGTCATGCCTTGTTTACATGATGTGAAATTTTTGTTTAATTCCATTGGTAAACAACAGTGTTATTTAAGTTCAAAAGTAGGACATGTTTTTTTTTTTTTTAACATGTAGTAGCATGCATCAGTGATGGCACATTTCATGTTGTTAACGAACATGCAACAGTTTTTTGACCTGCTGATTTTTTTGTTGTTTAAACTCCCCTGTTTTATGGCTTCCTAGTTGCATGTATAGGTTAAGGCCACATCTTCCTTATAAGGCATTGTTGCACAATGGCAGTGGAAGAGCTATGTCCAATTATCTTTTAAAAATTGAAATTTTCTTTAAAGTAACATCGCACATGTATACATGCACACTTACAAGCTGCTTCTAAAGGAATATATGCTTTGCATTGTTTAAATGCATGCCGCTTCATAAATATTTGTAACTGGACTTGAGTCTGGACGACTCGTGATCGCCCTGTACTAAGGACTTAAACTCTGTTGTTTAACAATTGCTTAATACAGTGTAAGAATTGCTTAAAAGAATGGTAACGAAATGCTATTCATAAATACCTAAGACAGTTTACCCATTCCTATTGGGTGATAAAGACGGTCTGGCTGGTCTTACACACTTTTCCAGTGTCACACAAAATTTGGACTCCTATGAAGTCTGGTGCCTCTTACTGTTTTATTGGTTGAATGTTCACAATCGCCACGTTCAGTAGGAATGGGCAATACTACCAATGACTCAGTACCACATTGCGCAGTACACGTGCCAATCTCCTTATAAATTGTTGTTTACCACTTTTTTTGCGACGGGGAAATTCCATAATATAGCTAGAAGTGTGTTTCCAAAAACATGAAGTGAAATTGCTAAACAAATACTTGTTGATTTCATTAGATTATGGATACTACTTAGAAATCAAGAAAAACCTATACCTTATTGAAGACACAGGTATCAGAGTCCGTTTGAATGTTTCAACATCAAGGAACTTTAATTTGTTTTGATGTAGGAATGAAACAAGCTTTGGATGTTTTAATGTGGATTTTGTACGCACCTTTGTTGTGATGTAATAAAGCAGAAGAATGAGTGACGTATCTCTCAGACAATAGTAGTCCTGGTTTTTGCTCTATTGTTTCTCGTTTGCCACAGATGTGACCTATCACCAGGTAATATGGTTAAAGTTGTAAATTGCATTTTGCAGGGGGGGGGGGGGGGGGGGAGAGAGACCCCAGATTTTCCCAGGCCAACAAAAGTACCCCTCTCTCGGTCATAATGTGCCCCGTCAAATGCACACATGTGAAAGCATATGATCGCGCTACAAATAACATTGTCTCCTCTCTTGTACTTAAGCCAAAAAAAAAATAAGTCGGTCTCTGGTCAGCGCGCGCGTCAATTTTAATCATGCGCGTCAATCTTTTTAAAATGTTCCGCGGTAGCTCCAACAGCGCCCTCTATTGCCCCACCTCCTCATTTTTTTTACCAAAGAGCACCAAGGAATGGGAAATTGCACCAAGGCAAATGATCGAGAGCACCAAGGCAAAATATGGAGGACACCAATGTACATGAGGGCACCAAAAAAGCAAAATAGTACCCACCTTGTCTGTACAATCCAAGCTTGAAGAAAAAAAAAAGCTGCATCCCTGCGTCAATTCCGGAACTTTGGTCTGACCTCTCACATTAACAAGATTGTGCACCTTCTCGAGATGGAAACTTTCCCCCGAAAGCACAAACGCCCCTCTCGCAATAATAAAAGTGTGCCCCTCTCGAGATGGGAAATTGACCATCAAAAACAATAGTGCTCCTCTCGCGATAACTTATCGAGATGGAAAACTGCTCCTCAAAAGCACAATTAGTGTCCCGCTCGCTACATTTAACCTGTGCCCCTCTCAAGATGGAAAACTGGCTGATAAAAAAAAGAATAGTGCTCCTCACGCAAATAAAATGGTCACTAAACTGGCCATCAAAGCAACAGTGCCCCTATCGCGATAAAAAAATGGTCCCTTTGCATAGGCCTAACTAGTCAAATTCAAGAACAGACCCAGAGAGGTTGCTGCCTGGGGTGTGCTGGAGGCTGAAGGGCTCTCTCAAGTGAAAAATGACCTTATTTGAGAACAATACGGCTATATTAAGACTATTTCAGGAATAGACACCAATTTTTTGAAAAAGGGAATTAAGATTTTTTTTTTTTTTAAATTTTTAACGCAAACATTTTTAAAAGTGTACATCAATGTTGTTAGTAAATTTTGTTCCGGGTAACATGTATTCCTTGCAATGTGAACGAAACTAGTTTCACAATTGGCTCCTCTTTCACACCGACGGAAGGTGCCTTTTTCTGAGCAAGTGCCCCCTTTTTTGGTGATCCCCCCCCCCCACCTTCCAGTTTGAAAAGCGTTCCGCCACTGCTGGTCCAACTTTTTAATGTCCCATATAACCTTATTTCCAATTTTCATTTAGCCATTTTTCAGGACGTTTTGTGCCTTTTTGGATTTTATGCTGTTGAAAATTTGCATCCGCACAAGCAAAATTGTGATGTCAATTCAGGCAGAAATCTCAATGTTACAGCTATTTCAGTGCCAAAACTTGCCAGGATATTGGATATTTTGCTATCGTCAATTTTCTTACTGAACTCATCCCAAATTATTGTATACCATTTATACAAATATATGAAATATAAATGTATCTAAATTCTTAAAAATCGGACTCTTTTTGCAATGACAGGTCATTATAATATGTACATACTTGACTTTCAACCCAAAAAATAAGAGTTTAGTAGGTTACTGCTCTCAAAAGATTAACAAATGTACAACATACATGTACATGTATATACTGACATCTTAGCCTTGTGAACATTTATTCCAATCTCAACTAAATTAAAGCATATACAGTACGCCAACAACCCTTGCCATAAATTATTATCCTTGCACTAAAGCCTAATATGCCCCACACTTAAGTCAAATAGCCCATTTCATTACTACATAAATATACATACAAAGTTATAAAATTAACATTTAAAATACATATTTTTAAAGAACAAACACACATATATAAGTACGTTCCAGATTTTGTAGTACACGTACATGGAGTGCTGTGGCCTCGTGGTTAAGGGCACTGATTCGTGGTCTGCGGGTAAAGCTGCAGGTTGTGGGTTCGAGTCCTGGCGGGGTCATGGTGCGTGTGCACTTGGGCAAGGCACTTTGTCACTCATTGCTTCTCTCCACCCAGGAGTAAATGGGTACCTGTGAGGGCAGAGATGGTTATTGTGATTGAATTAGCTACCTTGCGCCTAACAGGCTGCATCGAGCTGTATACTCCCCAGGGAGCTGAGATGGTATTTGGAATGTTTCATGTGCCCAATGAGCAGGGGTAATAATGATGTAGCGCCTTGAGCACCAGTCCTGGTGGATACGTGCGCTTTATAAATAGCCAATATTATTATTATATTATTATGTAGTCTCACAGAAAATTGAAGAAATAAGTTGAACTATAAAAAGACTCCATAGCAGTTTTACTGGTGGTGTATATAAATACGCAAGTGAAAAATGAAGGGCAGAACAACCGGACATATATTCTTGTCTAAAATATATAACATTATTTCCTTGTACATGTAGTTGCCTCTTTTTAAAATATTCAGTACATTTCTGATAATTTACATTTAAAAATGGGTATACGGTTTTGAGACACCCTTTACACATTGATTTTGCCTAGAAACTCTCAGATACCATGATATATAAACAACTCCAGCTTCAACTATCAATATTTCCCCTGCTTTGAACATCAAATTTAAACCCTGTCCAGACACCTTTATAAAATATTTAAACCATTTCTGTCTCAAAAACAAATCAGTCAGTATAAAATTATTGCTGTAACATTATTAAGTACATATACTTTTCAAAATGAGAAGCCCGACTTCCTGCTAGTACAGAATAAATAGAGCGATATGGCCACAGCTAGAACTGCTGTCTTTGAGCATTGTGTAGAAATTAAGGTGTGTGGATTTTGTACTTGGTTTCTTCAAGTTTGGATCGTTTTTACTGCTATCGGAGAATTTGTAGGCAGTATGGCTTAATTCTTCTGAAGTGTCTTTTCTAACACTAGCCGTCACAATTTTTCAAAGTACATTGTAATTCAAGAAATTGAGACAAAAATCCCTTATTTTGTGTACACTTCTATAGGCTGTGGCATGCACACCATACACATGCATGTAGGTGACCTACATGCAAATAGTCGGGCACTAGATTTGTCTATATGGCCCTCCCACTTTTTAAAGCCCCCTTCTCTTTCAATTTTTTTTACGAGAATAAACACAGGATAGGTACATGTACATGTACTTGATAAATAATGTACAAACTGGTTTAGCTTTACATTGAAAATGTAAAAATTACAACTTTCCACCTGAAAACTCACAACCAATATCGATACCATTACAAAACCCTAAAGCAAAGAAAGCTTCTATGTATCAATAAACATGAATGGTATTATTATGTACAACAAGTATATGAAAAGGTTTGTTTAAAAGTATACAAACACAGAAACTGGAAGAATTTCTGCTAATACTAACAACTGGCAATCAAGCTCTGTTTCTATTTATAAGTACTGCTGGAGAGTAAAAATATCAAGCCTGTTAGTACAAAAAAGGAAATGGTTTTACAATATTAGCTTTGACTTACATGCATCAAAAGCACACTTGTCAGATATGGTTCGAGTAGTCTAGCTCACACACAATCTTACCCCAAACCAATAAGTTGTTCAAAATCCTAACTAAAATTTCTCATTTTGAACAGTGTGCCCTTCAAAATGATCATAGTATTTCCCTAATTTTAGCAAAACTAATCATCAGATTTCTCTATGTGCCCTGCACAATCCAATAGATTCCAAAAGCAATGCATAAAGCCTGCTGAATCCAGCAGAATCCAATGAAACGATTCTTCATCCAAGACTGGATTATAATTTACCTTCCCTAATCCAGTCAGTTCCAAATCCCTGGCAGACACGGTCAGGCTGCTCGTTTGTAGGGGCCTGCATGGACGGGTGCCATCAATAGGATGAATTCACGCATTCTTGAGAATTTGGGCAGCCAACCCTTGAAAGTCCAATCACGCACAACCTAATCATGACTATAGTACGTGACTGAAATTTCTAAGGTCCAAGTGCCAAAGTTCCCAAGACTGAATTTGATTCAACTTGTGATACCACCCTCTACCGACACTACCTCTGTGGTGGCTTGACCGGATGAACAAAATCGATATCCTGTCTTTAACCAGTTTGCGTAGGATGACGTGTTTTAAGATCTGGCTGTTTTTATACACAGTCACGGAAGACAGGTCAAAACGTCAAGTGTGCCTCGCCTCGCCTCGCCTCCGGTTGACGTCTAAACACGCTAATCACTGATTTGTTTTGTACACACATTAAAGTCCAAGAAGTCTGTGGAGGTGGACCATGTGCTGACCTTGAACTGGGCCGCTATACAAGGCCTATTCTACAACTTACGCTCCGTGACCATATCCCTGAGTGTTGAAAAATATGAGGTTTCGGCAAGAAATATTGTACAAATTCTGTTGAAATGACTCTTGCGATTCAGTATTTGTGGCATTTGGCTGTATATCGGAAGTTGGCTGGTATATTTTGCCTTTTTCGAAAATCGAAATTTACAGCAAAAATAATCCCGTCCCGAAGTGGTTAAGACTAACCAAATCCCAGAAAGACGGATGAGCTACGTAGAACAAATGCCTAATTCTGTTCACAAGATCAATACAACGGCCTGCTATTGGGTTTTGTTGGAATCTGAAGGCCTCAGGATAAGAATTAATGATGTAGCTTGGAGCGCGGTTTGATTTCCCCTGAGTACAAATCCTGACCAGCCAGCCCATCGGCAAAGATCAACCTCATGCTCTGTGGCGTTGCCTCGATGTAGGCGAAGCCCCCCAGGCTGGAATCCTGCGCATAGTAGAACTTGAGGGAGTTGTGGGGCACACTGTCCTTGTGCACTTGTGATGTGTTGACAACATGGCCAGCCCCAATTACAAAGTATTCAACTGTCGAACTGTCTTCACGCAAATGCTGTTGTTGGATGTAAAACCAACAGTGTAAGATTACAAACTTGTTATTACCAATATCAGTAAAACATACAAAATGTACAAATTTATTTCTGGAATCTACGTACAGTTGTACAGTTGTACAATGTACAGTATAGGGAAAACATTCATGTTCTGTATGAACATGGAGCTATAATTGTGTATACTGTCAAAATAAGCTTAATTAAGCAAGCACACTAGGGCCTACCTTGTAAACATACCCTATGTGGAAATGCCTTTGTTTTCGCACAGTTAAGGAAACCAAGAGGAAAAAAAATATATTTTACTCACACTGTGAAAACTCTCTCAACCCAAATTGTTTTCTTTGATTCCCTTGAGTGTTTCTCTTCATTTTGCGACGGAAAAACCTAACCCAAAAATGCCTCAAAACCTGCTTTCCAGAGAGGGGGAAACCTTATGTGGACCTGGCTTTTAATAGTCCACACAAGGTTCACACAACCTGCATTATGTGGACCTGTTTTGTTGTCAGGTCCACATAAAGATGGTACATGAGCATGCAACGTACTGTGCACTTTGCAGTGAGAGCAGCATCAGTCCTATCAACGTACAGTATCCTCAAAACTTTTCCATTACATGGGTTTAAACTTCTAACTTTCTGTCCACTTAGTTGCCACTCAGAAGCTCAGCTGCCCATCAAAATAGCGATTAAACATCCTGCCTAAGTTGAAGAGTTCTGCACATTGTAGGTTGCACAAAAACAAGTAATGGTATTTTAGGCGAGCACTGCAGATCACATTCGAATGTCATGCAGAATGCGACTAGAGAAAGTAATTATAAATTGTAGGGAAGGGGCAGTGTTGGGTGAAGGAGAAATTTGCACAGCAGAGTTTTAAATACAGAGGCGTCCGAATTACATGTACTTGCATGACCACAGCGGGAAATTACACATCTATCAAAGCAGCTGCAGACCCGTTCGTTAATTAGCCAAGTGTAATGTAAATCTAAAAAAATTAAAGCAGCCTGACGTTTGCATCTTAACAAGATGTTCAAGATCTTGTTAAGATCCAAACGTCAGACCGCTTTAATTATTTTAGGTCAATCCAGTCAGAAAGCATTTTCCAATCAGTTTTATTCACATGCAAGTACAATCTAATTGACCTATCGCTGTTTGCGAGTTAGCCACACCCCTTAGACAACCCTATGGAGTTTTTGTCCACTACATTTTGTTTGTCTCAGAGTTGCGCGTTCCGCGTCCATTTGTTTATCATGTAATTGGACAATATTTCACAAGCTGCGTTGACGCGATTCTGACGCGATTCTACCGCGATAGGTCAATTGACCTATGGCCGTTTGCAAGTTAGCCCCTTAGACAACCCTACGGAATTTTGTACGTTAAGTTTTGTTCGTATCAGATTTTGTGCGTACCGCCTCCATTTTGTATGTAATTGGAAAATATTTTACAAGCTGCGTTGACACGATTCTACCGTTATAGGTTAATTCGGGGACATCAGCTAAAACGTACCTGGAGGTTGTGGTCGTGCCCACAGAAGTATGCATTGACCTTGTACTTGATAAGCAGGGGCCTGAGACGGGATACCAGACACTCAGTAGGTCCATGCTCACCTATGGACCATACTGGATAGTGGCCAGCGACAATCACATAGTCCGCACTGTGTGTGGGTGGAGCAGAGCAAAGCAAAATATTATTCTCATATTTGTGTAACAACTAACATGAGCATATACCCAAGTTTAAATTAATGGTATGATTGGGCTGGATTGCCCAGTTGGTAGAGGGACTGGAACGGCAATCCAAAAGTCGCAGGTTCAAGCCCCGCCCCAGTCAATTTCTTTGCTCAACATTAAAATTATTACAATTACCCAAAGTTTCAACTTTTGTACACCGATGTTGTCTTTTTCACAAAATGGTTTCTGCATTGTCGATGACTCCTCCATTTTCAGGAGCTTTTTGTCTCAAGCTTCAGAGATTATCATCTCTGGCTTAAAGGAAAGATACAACATTTGTAAACATTACAAAACGAAATGATCAAATTATCACAAAATACCTTGCTGGATTGTTAGGGATTGACAGTCTAAAGCATCCTGTAAAATCGTGGCTCCTGGTGTGCTGACATTTTCAAGAAAAATGGTATTTTTCCAACGCTGGTCGGCAGACCAGCGTTGGAGAAAACTGGCTTTTTTTCAAAACTGCTCCTATTTTTTCATAATTAGTTATTCCGTGTTTTCTTTGCAATTGATTACACAACTGTGGAGTACCAGCCTGCTAGACTTACTCTCTGATCTTACAATTCCCCAAAGTCTATAAATTCTCTGTTTCATCCTAAGTGGGGTCAGGGAACCAGACTACAAGAACACGAATGGTTTTCTTGGTTTTTCCAACATCTACAAGCCCAAAACGTGAAACCAGTCATTTTAACAATATTTGCTATAACATACTAATCCTCCAAATCCATTTATTTCTGAAAATTGCAGCAAAAGCAAATGTTGTACATTCCCTTTAAAGGTAGAGTAGATCATATCCAAAAAAGTGCCTCACCAAATTATGGTTAAAATGCTTATTGCGTGTACAAATGTACTTGATTTAACATGTTTAAAGATAGAAATGGCACTAAATTCCCTGTGAAATAATTCCAGGCCATTTCTAAACATGCGTCAAGTGACGCATTTTTAGAAATTTCCGTTAGTACATGTATTTGGTTTGTAATTCAGCGAATCCGTGAATGGGTTCGCACAAGTGTTGATGAGATGCACACGCGCGCGCGGTTGCTACTATTTGTCAGTTCAGTGCGTGACATTGCGTAGCTGCAATCGGCTGAATGGGAACGTGTCCCGGACGCTGAATTCGGGCACAGTTGAAAATGTGACTTGGCAACTTTTGAATTGAAATTGAGATCCTAGAAACTTGATCTCTCAGAATTTACAGAGCTAAATCTTCACAGGTTAGTTGATCAGTCTTTAGATTTTGAGCACTTTTGTTACTTCAAACGGACCAAATACTCAAAGTCAAATGATCTACTCTACTTTTAATTCAGTTCATTTACTGCCACACCAAATAGAAATACTCATTTTCATCATCATCTAGGGGTCACAACCGAGATCTCGTTCACAACGCCACGCCAGGTGTCTTTATCCCTCATTATGTATGGAAGGTCTTCGATTTCACATTGGGTGTCTCTGCCAATCACACCAATGTAGTTGAAAGGTCTTCGTCCTCTTTTAGGGCATAGAAGTCTCCAACATAATACATCAGACATGACCTGGTTTACAGCACGGTAGCAGTGGCCAGAAAAGCGAACTCGTCATTGAGCAACAATAGCAGAGATACGTGGAATGTCTCTGTAAATCTGTTCATTCTATTATCATAGGATTAATTTTCCAGAAGCAGAATACAGAACCATATTTAATTGGTCATCAGGGGTCGAAATTAAGCTCAGGATTTGAATAAAACCTCCATAGACTTGCACAAGTCATACCTTTGGGTTGCTTGGAGTTGCTGCTCAATCCAATGCCATTCTTTGTCTGCTGCATTCTTGTCCTGGGGTCCCGCCAGCTCCTCTGGGGTGCTGAACTCGTCTAAGACGCCGCACAGGACCTGGGTGTCTATCATGATGAAAGCAATCGTGGTCTTGGTTCCCGGGATGTTGTAGTTGAAGGTGTAGTACAACGATGGGAAAGTCCTTATGAAGACGATAAAAAAAAAATATCAGTTAAAGTATGCCAGCTAGCACCCGATTTCATGAAACTCATCGTAACTAACAATGCATCGCAGCGCTGCGACGCATCGTATCCCTACGATGCGTCGCAACTGCGACGAGTCCTGCAATCCATTTCACAAAACACGTCGTAAGTGCGACGCATCGTAAGGGTATTTATAGCAGAACTCGGTGACTGTTTTATGTATTTAGTCATTGTACAATAAATAGTTGTCTGATATTCAACAAAGAGTCGTTGGATTTCCGCTCGAAATTTGTTAAAACGTAAAACAAAATGGTGGCCGTGTGATGCAATTTTAAAGGAAATAGCTACATGTACTTTGAAATTTCAACTGCAATATTCCAGGCTAATTCGTAATTATTCAATGAATTTTCTATTTACAACTTTACACACATTGCCTCGGTATTATAATCTTGTTTATGTAATGTTAATGGTATAAAACTGGCTAAGACTCTTCTTATTTTGCGATGACCACTAGTCACTTCGTAACTTGCGACGTGTTCTAAGCCGTTATCAGGGAGCTAATTACGACGCATTCAACTCATCGCATGTTTCGTAAATGGATTATACTATGCGTCGCGAGCTGCTTCAACACGTCGTAACTCAGGTTGCGACGCGTCGCAGCGCTTTGCGAAATCGGGTGCAGGCTCTCACCTCTAGACCAAATTCGAGTTACTGCATTATAGCTGTCTTTAATTCATTGAAATTTGTTAAAATTGACAAATCAGACCATCAGTGAGACAATTAGCTTGCCTATTCAATAATTAATGTCTGATGTACCCTGTGGGGGGATGTTCCACCTGTTGTTACACTGGACACGTTTCTCACTTTTATTGACAGTGTTATACATGTACATACATGTATACATGTATGTATGAGATACAATGTATGTTGATGAGCAGGATTTCTAAAGCAAAGAATATTTTCAAAGCACGGCTGTATTTTCATCTTGCCTTGACAATAGTATTACAAGCTGACTATTCAGGATGTATAAATGCTGTCAAACTGCCGAAGAGAAATAATTATATTTGTACAATTGACTCTTTCAATGCTCACAAAATTTGAAAAGTTTATAACCCTAAAGTGCCCATTCCAACTTCGAGCATTTTTTTAAATTGTTCAAAATTCTGTAAAAAAAAAGTAAATAAGTTTTACTCATTAAATGTGTTGTTGTTGCTCTCTGGTAAGTCCTTGGTATATTGGAAAGTCAATAGTAGTCATGTGCATAGTGATACACCCTGAAACACTGTCCTGCACACAGGGGAATTCCGCACTTTTTGCAGAAAATGCGAGTGTCAGTGCTGCGCCCTCTCCCTAGAACTCGAATGAAACAAATAAATACAGGTCGTACCTGAATGAAAATTATATTATTAGAAAGAGTGAGAGCGCTCCCTTGTGATAACATGCTTATTCTACCTCGTACATGTACGCGGTTTGGCGATTTTAAGTACGAACTTTACCTCGTACATGTACGAGGTTGGCAATTTCGAACTAACAAATACCTCGTACATGTACATGTACATGTACATGTACGACTTTGGCACTGAAAGAGCAACATTTTCAATGGTAAGATGTGACAATTTAAGAAAAGTTCACCCCAAAAAGGGGTATAATTACAAACCTAGTTATTTTCCAAATTTACATGTTTTTCACTTTAGATTTATTTTTAAACTTGAAAGCACTCAGAGAACGCAAACCTCCGCCAAGGCTAAACACATTGTCGGCACACCCAAAAGAAATACTCGCATAAATGGCGAAGAATCCTTAAACAAAATCCTGGATCCAGACCCAGATCCGGATCACTTTCAAAATCTAATCGACTTGTACTTGTACCAAGGACCACCCCTAACAGAGTTTTCATGCAAATTCGTCCATACCCTTTTGAGTTATCTTGTTAACAGACCAACCAACCAACCAACCAACCAACAAACGCCGATGAACACATCAACTGTAACTGTACCATTTATGCATTTGTCCAAACAATATTTTTTGGCTGTTAACTTATGACAACTCCAACTTGATTAGAGTTGGGTCAATTTTTTCCAAGCAAGTTTTTGTTCAAGATTCATACATGCATACCATCTGTCTGATAGCTTTGTGTATTCCACCTCTGCTGTGACATTGCCTCTCCAATCATGGTTCCCGGCGACAACATACCATGGTGTCTGCAAAGACTTGGCTGTAAACACATCCTCAAAAGTCTCCTGGAATGGAAATGCAAATGATTACTAAAATTTAGCTGATGAGGTATAAATAAAGAAGAAGGCCCTTCATCTTTCCGCAAGATGGCAGATGGAATCTTTGATTCTTCAGTGAAAACTGCAACTTTCGCGAACATCATCAACGTGAAAATGTTTTGTTTTCCCATGTACCCCGGTTTTCATTTTGAATATTCCCCACTAACGACATTCAAAACCTTTCCTTTTCATTGTCTGAGAAGTTAATAAGCAATCTGTAAAGTTGGTCACGGGTACCCGATCCCATAATTTGGAACCGGTTCCTGACATCAATGGTCGGGTTCTGATACACAGTCCTAGTCTGCTTTAATACTGTGGCGCAATAGCAGTTTGGTGGTAGCCAGGGGCTATCGTAGCTATAAAGTAGACAATGACCTAGACGTCAGCCAGGGCTGATGCGCGTAATGCGCTGCGGCGCCAGTCTATTTGCCACATGTGTATATAAGTGTGAGCGCGCGCTCAGTGTGGCAGTTCCTCAGTTCATGAGTTCCTGAGCAGTTCCAGTCCCGTACCAGAGTAGTGAGACACGGTGACAAGTAGTGCGTCACAGTTGCTGAGCGTGTTTATTCAGTCCCTCGCCCGTGCAGATTAGTGGTAGTAGGCAGCTGTGTCCGTAAGTGAGGCTCTTACTGGGATAAGTTTAGCGGGGGCTAGTCAAGTCAGTTAAGGGAGGAACTCCGTCCACGGGAATAAGTAGCAAGGCCGTAGTGGTGAGTGGACGTTAACCTAGTGGGGAAGATTTACAACCTGTTCAGGAAACCTGTTTAGGAAACCCGCACCTGTTCAGGGGAGACACCTGGGAAGGTGACCAACACCTGTCAAGGTCTAGAGATGATTTGCAGTCTGTCTGAGTAGATTATCATAAAGGAATGTCAACCTAAAGAGAAGAGTCCCGTGTTTGATTTAGAGGTGCCCCGTTTTCCTTCCCCTGCCGTTCCCGTGTGTGCTGGCGCAAGAGCTACTGGCGTAAGACCCGCTCGCGAATAAAGTTGTTCCCCTGCTGCGCCTGGCGGTAGACTGCCCCAAAACAGGCCTGCTCCCTTGGCCTTCTCAGAATTGACCGCTCGCTGACGTCGGCCGAGGACGACTCGGGGTTGCTGTCGGCACGACCGCCACAATACCTGAAATAGTCCCTCTGGTTCTTTTTTAGAACCACACATACTCACAAAAGAGATTTATTCACATGGTGCTACAGCAAACTTATCTTGTCTTAGTACCTTAAATCTCTTGTCGTGGGCGTCAGTTCGTATGCCAAATGTGTAGAAGTTATCCCCTAGAGCCATGACGAAGGTGGAGTTGATCTTTTTGGCTATATCACCCATCTGATTGGCACAAGCCACCTCGTCTGTGGTGGCGTACGGTGACGATGACTGGCCACCCCAATCACCAAGAGCAAGGAAGGACAACGTGCCATCTAAAAGGGGAACAAAAACAGGGGCGTGTTTTGGCAGTGATGACTTAAACTGGTTTGGTTGTTTTTTTCATTGGTTGAATATTTTAGCGACTTTGTTGTGTAAATACTGTAAACACAACTGACTAACTGCATTATTTACCCAAGTCTCGAAAACACTCAACCAATGAAAAAATAAAATGCACCACATTTTATCAATTCATTAAGTTTAATTACAGTTCTCAAGAGAACAATAAATTAAAACATTCTTTTAAAGCAATCTATTAAAGCTAAATAAAAATAACTAAACTCACTCGCCAACAACAACAAAAGAACAGTTTTTGGAAACTGGGAATTCCATACTGGGCCACCACTCAGACCTCCTGCACGAAGTCTATGGGACATGACCGGAAAAGTTTAAGTATTATCAAAGAATTTTTGCACTCCTTAGATACTGTTTCTTTACTTCTGGAATCAGAAGGCTGCTCGAGCGTAGTGTTTCTTCATCAGATTTACAACTTTTGGTACTTTTCAGGTCATATTAAGGAATATGAGGTAAAGATTCCCATATCTGGCCATCACTTGTCACCCTGTGCACAAACCCTATGAGACTGGTCTGAGTGTTTTCTCAGTAAATACTTCAATATATCTTCCCTTCAAATTTTGACTTTTTAGGACATATCACTTTCTGATGGCTGATAGGTCACTGAAGGGAAAAAATTAGTGATGGCCAGATAGGGTTTTTTTCCCCCTTTCTTTCATGTTAATGTTTAAATTATTTTTTCCATAGATGTACAATGCACATGCATACATTATGCTTATACCCAACAAGGCCTCTCTGTTTATTTGCCTTTTTAAATCAGTGATTCAGTTGGGAACTGAAACTCTGACTCCTTAGTATTAAGTCATATATACTGACAGTTCTACCATCTAGTTTCCTGGACACAAAAAATAAAAGTATTTCCTACTTTTGTGGAAAAAAAACCTAACGGAAAAGAATCACATGTGAGAGATTGCTTTTACTTTTGGACTGAAATAAATGGAGTTCTAGCACCCAAGTTACTGGGTCTAGTCTTTTGTTGTACCGACCACGGAAACAATTTAAAAAAAGGAGTTCTTCTTCTATTCCTGGACACAAACAAATAAAAGTATGTCCTACTTCTGTGGAAAAAAAACCTAACTGAAAAGAATCACGTGACAGATTGCTTTTACTTTTGGACTGAAATAAATGGAGTTCTAGCCCCCAAGTTACTGGGTCTAGTCTTTTGTTGTACCGACCACGGAAACAATTTAAAAAAAGGAGTTCTTCTTCTATTGCTAAGTTCTAGCGCCACAGACTACAGTTAATTACTACATAGTAGGCCTACATCACTACATGTACATGTAGGTCTAACATAACAAACCCAAACATGCCAAACAGAACAAGGATTAAGTATGAATAAAATTTAACATAATTATTACCAGCAAAACAGCATGAATTAAATCAACCTAGTACTATTAGTAAAACAATTACACGCCCCTGCTTGAAAATATGCAGACAAAATTGCAAACAATCATGACAATGATTAAATTGTTCTCGGCTTAACCAAGGAGCTAGTTTAACCATGGCCCATGGATTTATTCCTCCATGGTTTAACACCGTGATGAGGCCTGCGGCAATGCATCGGCCATGTCATCCGCTGTCATGGCTGTGCGCGGCTCCAGCATTAACTTACCGTTTGATGGTGGCGAGTAAACTCCACACACCAGCTTAATACAAACTAACAAGATAACTGCTATATTCATCATGCTTACTCAACAATGTTGGCAATTTGAAAACAAAAAGCTATCCTTGTTATATATTATCTAGTTAATAAAGTGAAACAACTGGGTCGACCCGCGCGGCCGGCGTGCGAACGCTGGAAACAATGTCACGTGATTCTCATGTGATTGATGATTGATGTCACAAAAATAACTGGGACTTGTACCCAAACTCTTCCCAATTATACAAGAAGGCATATGTATAATGTAGCCAGACTGTATAGCGTGGTGTCCAGCGATAGTGCAAGTACATTGTAGGTCGAGTCGGTGGCCGTGGAGTCTCCACGTTAGCAGTAATGTTTTTGCTATTATTATAATGCATAGTTTGAGAACAAATATAAAATGCAGAACCTCTTGTACTATTGCTAGAATGAGAATGCACCTTTTTTTTTCGTTAGCTAACGTGCCTACTAACTCTAGAAGAAGTCGTACGTAGTCGAGTCTAGCCTTGGTCAAGGCGTTCGTCATTCATTATTCATCCCATGTTCATCCGTACGCTCGCGATCGCGTGCGTGCGATAAACGATCGGCGGCATATACTTCTAGAATTAGAAGGCTTCTCTCCGTCAGCTGACGGACAGAAGCCTTCTAATTCTAGAAGTAGGCGGCATATATCCTCGCTAATAATGCATGAAGGGCATTAAAAATACAGCGCGAACAGCGACCTCATGCATATGCAGCCACTATTTTTATGCAAATCAGTTTGATCCGATCGAACGCCTTGGTCCAAAAACAGAAAGATTCCCTTATCTGGCCATCACTAACATGACTAATTTTTCCCTTCAGTGACCTATCAGCCATCAGAAAGTGATAATGTCCTAAAAAGTCAAAAGTAGGAAGGAAAATATTAAAGTATTTACTGAGAAAACACTGAGCAATTTCTGACCAGTCTCATATCAGGTAAAAATATGAACTAAATGTTTTAGATTTTTTCTGCTAAAGTAATACCCTGGACATCAGTCGTAACGCGACGAAGACTTTGCTAACTCATAGTCTTACAATGTATCACAATAGAGCAAGGAAACGTTTTCATAATCTTTAAGTTTGGTCGGTTCCTTGCTCTTCGGTTTTGCCAACATGTTTCACGACTTGATTTGGATTTGTCTCATTCTGAAAGTCAACTCGTGGTAATTTACATGTATGTAAACATAATCATTGCCAAATTTGGACACGGATCTATTTAATAGAATAGACTAGTCTTTGGGAGTATTAAAGGGAATGTACATCATTTGCTTTTGCTGCAATTTTCAGAAATAAATGGATTTGGAGGATTAGTATGGCATAAAATATGGTATATAAAATATTGTTAAACTGACTTGTTTCATGTTTTGGGCTTGTAGATGCTGGAAAAAACCAAGAAAACCTATCATGTTCTTGTAGTCTGGTTCCCTGACCCCACTTAAGATGAAACGAAGCAATTAATACACTTTGGGGAATTGTAAGGCCAGAGAATCAGTCTAGCAGGCTGGTACCCCTTCACATGTGTGTGATCAATTGCAAAGAAAATCAGAATAACTAAATATGAAAAATTAAGAACAGTTTTAAAAAAAAGCCAGTTTTCTCCAACACTGGTCGGCCGACCAGCGTTCAAAAAATATAGTTTTTCTTGAAAATGTCAGCCCACCAGGAGCCACAATTTTAAAGGATGCTTTAGACTGTCAGTCCCTAACAATTCAGTAAGATATTTCGTGATAATTTGACCATTTCGTTTTTTGATGTTTGCCAATGTTGTATTTTCCCTTTAAAGTAAAAATGTCACCAATACTTCAAAATGAAACCCTTAGCTTGTATAATTAGTCCGTGAAGTAGGCCACATTGAGGATCACAAGAGTTCAAGATTTCAATCAGTTCTAAACATTTGAGATTTTGTATGCAATGAACAAAAAATCATTATTTCTTTTGAGATTTATCATTTAAAAGTCTGGCAGGCTTTTCATTTCTTTGGTTTGTTTCCTTCCCCCTCCAGATAAAATGGATGCTACCAGCCAGCCGGGCCTTTTCATTGGTGTCGACGTAGGCACAGGGAGCGTGCGAGCTGCGGTTGTCGATGACAGCGGTGCTATCCTAGCAACGACGAGCCGGCCAATCAGAACCTGGCAGTCTGGAGGGGATATCTACGAGCAGTCGTCAGACAACATCTGGGAAGAATGTTGCCTGGCTGTCAAAGTAAGGCAGTGGGGACTACTACGCAAGCCTAAGCGCACAAAATTATATTCAACTGATTTAGAATGGCTATTTACTGGAAATATTTGCAAAACTCTGGTCTACAATATACATGATATAGGAAGATCTTACAGTTATCCTATACATTGCCCAGCTCTGCTGTTTGCCAGCCTAAAATTGTTTACAGAAGACTTGTGTTTACAAGGCATAGAATGTTTCAGTGCTGCAATCGCATAATGGTAATCATTTGCAGAGTTTCATAGTTAGCCTAGCAATGGGTCCAATGTTCTCCAGCTGTTTTAAGTTAAAACAAACAGGTTGGCGTAAGAAGCATTTTTAGTTTTGAGCCATAGGCCTATGTCTTCAATTGAATTCAGATATTTCTGCTACCTTCTATCTGGATTTGTAAAAAAACAATTGTCAATGCTTAACACATAAGCCCCTTTACATATTGTATTACATTGTACAATGAATCCGTAAAACCACATGTTTGTGGAAACTTAAATAGTTGTATATTTTGTCATACACGTAATTGTTCTCATTGTGTACAGGAAGCTATGCAAGGACAAGACAGTGAGAAGGTTAGAGGCATCGGCTTTGATGCCACCTGTTCGCTTGTTGCCATGGATACCAACTTTCAACCAATCACAGTCAGCTCCAGTGGTAAGAAGTTCAATATCGGGATAAGTTGCAGATATTTATTCACAACAGGCCCATTGTACTGATCATGATCAGTTGCAGGATTATAGGCACGACTTCCCAAGAATGTTCCCACATTGGCGTTATAATTAAATTTGTAGCAGTGCTCAGAAAATTGCAAAAATGTCTGCAACCTATACTGGATGTTTTAATGAGATAATAGGTGTGTGCAAGTGTGCACAGTTGAACGTAAGTTTGCGCCTGTGTGATGTGTCGTGCGCACATGCTTGTTCCTTTGACTTCACTTTTGTCCTTTGACTTACTTCCACAATGGGGGTGACATGTGCATGGGCGTGGCACTACCTCAGTTTTATCACTGCCCTCCACATTAGTGAATTTCAGGGCTTAAATTCCATGTTGATAAATCTGCTATGGTACATGTTGTACAGAGCTAGTTGGAAAGTTTTGGTAACTAGACCAGAATTAATTTTATATGAACAAAATACAAAAACATTTGAAAAGATTAAACTTTAATTGAGATGAACCAGAACGTTTTTACATTGCTAGTAATGATGCATGTAAACAGGAATTTATAAATACCTAAGACAGTTTACCAATTCGTATTGGTCAAGAGCCCTAAATGGTTGACAAAGACATGGCTGGCTGGTCTTAAACACTTTTCCAGTGTCACATGAAATTTGGACTCCTATGAAATTCTGTGCCAGCACCGTTTCATTGGTTGAACCTTTACAATCCTCATGTAGACATGTGCAATACTACCAGTGAGTCATAAACTTAAATTCACACTACTCCGGTACATCTGCATTCTGCGCAACATTACGTAGTGCGTGCGGCGCGCGCGCCAATCTGCATATAAGGAGTTGTCTATCAGAGGGTCTAACCATTGTATAGCTAGAGGGGTGTTTTGTTGGACAAAATGTTTGGAAAGTTATAATTTTGGCCTTTTTTTTTTACTCTTGTGGACCAAAAAGTGTTTTGGTTTTTTTACTGTAAAGGTTTTTATGACTGTGAATAAATATGTGCTTGGTCGGTATTAAACACTCTGTTTAAGACTGGTTGGAGACTGGATGTTGATAATTACCCTCACCTTCTGGTCGGGTAAAATCAACATCCAGACTCCAACCGGTCTTAAAGAGAGTGTTTAATACCTACCAATCACACATTTATTCCCTTAATAGAAAGTACTCTACAGGGTGAGTCAAAAAGAAGTTGACCGGGATTGGTGATGTTTTTCAAAACAAACAAATGACACTCAAAACCCCAGTGAAGCACATATTTAACAAGCATTCGTTTTTGCTTATCTGAAACAAATTGATCATTCCTAAGAGAAGTTATGCCTGTTTTACTGAAAGCACTCATGTTTGTAGCTGTCCATGGAATGTTAATGTACACAGCTAAAATGCTTACTTTACATTTGCTTGTTCAAGTATTCCGTGGACAGCTTGCAAAATGAGTACCTTTATTCAAATAGACATAACTCCTATTAGGAATGATCAATTTGTTTCATTCTTTTTTTTCTAATAAGCAGGAGAGAGTGCTTGTTAAATACATGCTTTACTGAACTTTTGAGTGTCATTTGTTTGTTTTGAAAAACATCACCAATCCCGGTCAACTTCTTTTTGACTCACCCTGTTAAGATGAACTTGAGTTCATAAACATAAATATTTGACTAGGCCAAATGGACATTTAGAGAAAGTTTAAAGAGAAGTGTTCTCAGTGGTGAAAATGAGACTCCACTGGGCACAGGCTGTAGTGGAGCAAATGCAAATTGATTTTCAGATTTATCTCTGTAATCTTTGAAAGAAATAGTATGAAATTCATGGAATAAAAGTGTTTTTAAGGAAAAACCAATCCCATCTTTCTTTTTCATGACTACCAAAACAGTCGAAAAAAGCCTTTTCTAAGTATTTAACTTTTTTTACATTTCCATAAATGCGAACTTTAAACAGCCATAACTTGTCAACGGAATGTCTGATTGAAGTACAACAAACGGTATTGTAAGGAGAATTTTATTCTCTTTTCTAATACCTGCAAACCCTAATTTCGATCTCTGCCCAGTTCTGTCTCATTTTGCAAGAATGCCTCTATACACTGCACTGGCACCTAGTGCACAGCTGCAATGGCATGTACAAGGCTGCTAAACTCTCTCTTTGTCATATTGAGGGTTACCTGAGCATTGAATTCTTTGGGCCTATCTTGTCGAGTTCTTCATTTCGTTTTTACATCTGCAGGTGACAACAACAGGAACATTATCTTATGGATGGACCATAGGGCGCATGAACAAGCCAACTTGATCAACTCAACCAATCATGACGTCTTGCAGTATGTCGGGGGGACTGTCTCACTTGAAATGGAGCCGCCCAAGCTTCTCTGGCTGAAACAGGTATGAGCCCTAACCCTGCCACGCACAGTGCAATGGGTGTGGGACCTTTGTTGCATTGAGCTGTCAACAGTGCATAAACAGCCAATTTTGAGACAATGAATGCTATATAGTATAGTGGTGATGCCTAAAGAGGGACATGTTAGTAGTCGCGCAACCTTAACGATATTTCTTGAGAGTAAATTGGCAAATGTTCACTCTCTGCAGAATCTGAAAGCTGAATGCTGGGACAAGGCCGGCCATTTTTTTGACCTGCCTGACTTCTTGACATGGAAGGCTACAGGAGCTCTATCAAGGTGACTGACTATAGACACTCAAAATGTTATCAATACCATTGCTTCCTGCCACTGACAGTGTTCTAATGAGAAATGCACTTTTCCTTGCTGCACTTTTATGTGCTTTCTATTCATAATCTTAAATGGAAAATTAAATAACATACACTCTGAACCATAGGAAGTCTGCAGTTTCCGACTGATAATCAAGAGTCACATGAAACTTTTTGGACCAATCAAGTTTTTTTTTAATTAGCACACTGAGCATTGTATACTTGTTGGATCAGTCCCCCAATTCCTGATTACCTATTTCACGGTGGTAATCAGCAATTTTGATGTATTCAAATTAAAAGCGAACCATTAATCATATGTTTTTAGGTCTCTGTGCTCTGTTGTGTGTAAGTGGACGTACCAAGCAGATCGGACGGGACGAAAGGAATGGAGCGACTCATTCTGGGAACAAATTGGCCTTGGGGAACTCAAAGAGAATAATTACGCTAAAATAGGTAATGCCTGCTTCCTTAGATAAGCCTCACAGAATATTTAGAGAGAATAATAGTTAAAAAGTTGGCACTTTCGACCTGTTGCATTGGTTTTATAAACCCATTGAAGTTTGATTGATTATTGAGCGTATTTGATACAGCAAAGATTACTTAAAATGGGTGTGTAAAAAATTGCAACGTAAAGGCTGGTAAAAAACTCGGCGCGAAAGCGAACGGGAATGTGAATTTGCAAAAGTTGAACACATTTCAACTCAGGGGAATTTCACAGCGAATGCTTCATGACGTGAAATTCGCATCGCATTCGCATTTGCATAAAGTTTGAACTGGCCTTAATTGTCGAAATTTATTGAAATGGGTATATTTCTAAACAAATTTAAACAAAATGTAAAATTTAAGAGTAGCTAGTCGTAAACTGGATGTATTTGTGATGTTTTTGATGAGTGCTTTGTTTGATTATTTATTCATAAATACCTCAGACAGTTTAGCCATTCCTATTGGTCGAGAGCCCGTCACGTGGCCGGTCTTAAACGGATGATAAAGACATGGCTAGCTGGTCTTAAACACTTTTCCAGTGTCACATAAAATGTGGACTCCTAAAAATCCAGTGCCTCTTACCGTTTCATTGGTTGAACGTTCACAATCCTCACGCAGGCATGCGCAACACTACCAGTGAGTCCGAATTTTATAGTTCTAAATTCAAAACGCAACGCCCCAGGTGCGTTCTGCGCGACATCGCGCAGAACGTGCTATGTGCGCGTCAATCTCCATAAAAGGGTTGTTTACATCTTACTCGCCAGCTGAACACTCCATTATTTTGCTAGAGGGATGTTTCAAAAAGCTGAAGTGAACTTGTTGATCAAAATCGGGATTTTTTGAACGAATTACTTGATTTTTTTTTACCAAAAAGGTATTTATGAATGGGAATAAATATGTGCTCGGTCGGTATTAATCACTCTGTTTAAGACTGCTTAGAGTCTGGGTGCTGATAATTACCCTCGCCTCCGGCTCGGGTAATTATCAGCACCCAGACTCTAAGCAGTCTTAAACAGAGTGATTAAAACCTCTCGAGCACACATTTATTCCCTTATTATAGTTTTTTTTATTTAAAGAGGTGTTCTGGTTTTCTTGACAGGGAGTACAGTTCTGTCGCCAGGGGAACCCGTTGGTTCTGGACTGACCAATCAGGCAGCTTCAGAGCTGGGTCTCAAGCCCGGCACGCCGGTGGGTGCTTCCATTATTGACGCCCATGCAGGGGGGCTGGGTGAGTCGACAAAATCTTCACATTTAGAGAAAAAGACACAAACAGCATGTACATGTACCTGGCTCAAGCTTCTTGAAAATGTCCTGAGTTGTTTCGTGCCATTAAGCCCAACCCTGCTACAGTAAAAAATAGTAACAACAGTATGTCCTCTTTTTGAGTCAACACTTTTTGCTCAGGGCACTACGTCATTATTACCCCCATTCTAGGGCTGTCCAATTAAGAATAATTTAGTATTCGATTATTCAGAACTGCATTTGACTGAAAATTCCGAATTTTCGAAACGCACTGATCAAGTTGACACGCGCCCGGAGTCAAAAGTTCCACAAAAAGCACGCCGCATAAAATTTGCGTGCGGCGATTGATGTTATGGGCCACTGTAGTGTTTTGCTGTAAGTCTTTTATTACTGTCAAGGGCTTTAACTTGCTGAAAGTCACTGTCAACAAAAAGTGGCATCTGTCAATAATACAGCACGCGCTGCAACTTTACAAGTAAAATAACATCACACAGTAGTGAACGTGCCTACTTTTTTTTCTTTCTTTCGAATATTTGAATTGGTAATAAGCTATTCAAATATAGGGTTTGTGATCAAATATTTGAATATTCGGTATGTTCGGGACAGAATGGCCCTGAAAGATTCCAAAAACAATCTCAGCTCCCTTGGGAGTATGCAGCTCGATATTGCCAAATTTTGAGGCAAAGCAGCGAAAATCAATCACAGCAACCATCTCTGCCCTCACAGGTACCCATTTACTTCTGGTTAGGGGGAAACAATTAGTGACAAAGTTTGTCACCCAAGGACACGATCAAGTAGCAAGAATTTCTCATTGGATTATATTGTCTTTGCAGTGAACAATACATTTTTGTTCTATCTGTTTGATCTTGTTGTTTTCAGCAGGCTTTTGCACTTAAATAGCTTTGGCATGTTTCGATAATGTTGCAGTCAGCGGTTTCCTTATAAAATTCTTTGAACAGTCTTTGTGGCGCTTTGTTTCGGTTAAAGGTGTGGTGGGGGCTGACATTTCTTCGCACAGTCTGGTGAAAGCCGGCAAGGAAGATGCAATCACCACACGGCTAGCTCTTATTTGTGGAACGTCCTCATGTCATATGGCGGTATGTAGAAAGCGTTGCCAAAATCTCAGAAAGTCAAGTTTTAGCTATTATGTTCTTTAGTGTAGTGGAGCAGTATACAAATATTGAATGCTTCGAGTGGTGTGGTAAAACTAGCCTCCCGAGGTGATCCATGGAGCATTCTGTTTTCCTGTTTGTTTCAACAGATTAGTACCCAGCCAACCTTTGTGCCTGGTGTATGGGGACCGTACTTCAGTGCCATGGTACCAGGCTATTGGCTGAATGAAGGTGGCCAGAGTGCTTCTGGTAAGCTCATAGATCACGTGTTGGAGACTCACCCGGCATACCGAATGGCTCAAGATGAAGCGGACAAGGGGTGAGTAGTGCATCGGGAAGCTGACACCTGTAGAGTCATGAAGAACCAAATTCTTCCTACCTTTGACATTTGAGAAACTGTTAGGAGCAACTTCACGTCCAAATCTTTGAAAGTGATGCAGGCCCCGCATCCAATTGTGTGTTGCAACGCCCCTTAAAAATCTCGCTAAGTGCAACTTTTAGTTTTGGGGTTTCAGGAGCTTCAGCGCTTGCGCTCTTCTTACTTTTTCGCACATTATTCCCAAGTGAGGCATCACATTGAACCGTAAAGTTTCCGTGACAAAACGTATATTTCACTGAGATTTTTTGTTCACCGAAAAATGACCAAACACAGATAATTATACAAACTACTTGATTTCTTTTCGTGCCAGGTGTATACTTCACAACTCCACGTGCAAACCAGTTAGTGGAATAGTGCACACAATCTGTGAAATGCTTGTGTTCCTCAAAATGAACACATGACGTGAACAGTCCTCTTAAGACCAACCCGACCGACCATATAGGCTACATGGGTTGGGACACACCATTTTGGGGAGTCTGCCCTGGGGGATTAAGATATTTATAAGCGCTTATCCTATAATTGGTTCCATAAAGGCCTGAAGGTCACTCTGCCTGAGAGATTTCAAGCATAATACTTCATTGCTAAATTCAATCTGTCCGCTGACAAAAATATTATCATAATGATGTACCTGAAATGTTGACTTATTTTATATTTTGAACTGTGAAAATCAGTGGATAAACGGCCGAGAACGATCTTTTCACTGTGGCCGTTTGTGCTGACTCTCGACCGCAAACTTGCAGTTCCAGAAAGCAGTGTGGCTAATAACAGGTGGTAGTTCATTTAACCTTCAAGTGATTTAAGTGGGACAGTGGACTGGGGATCAGAGTTTGTTTACTTAAGGACCCCCCACAGAGGTCCAAAATGGTGCGTGAAACAAGCAACTTTCTTAAGAGGGCCGTTTTCGTCATGCATGTGACATTCGTAGTGATGCTGCTCTTTCTGGGTTTTTTGTCAAATGGTGGCAGCATACCAGTTGGATAATACAATGTATGTTTGTGTATATGTTGATGTCTGTGTTCATAGTTTGACTCGAACACTTATGTTTCTTTGTGAGAATGTAAAGTTGTTTCACATTTTTCCATGGGTTTTTGTTTCACTAGGGAAAACATGGCATTTTTATTCAACACGGAATCACTTTTATGTGTATTTTTTTCTCTCCAGAGGAGTAACTGTCTACCAGTATTTGCACAACCTATTACAAACCATGGCAGCAGCGCAGAATCTATCATCCCCAGCGGAACTGACAAGAGATTTCCACATTTGGCCCGATTTTCACGGCAACCGTTCACCATTGGCAGACTCGAGCCTTAAAGGGATGGTAAGGAAACCTGACTAGCTTCGTAGAACAAGACTAGACATGCTAACCAAAAAAGGTCCCAGACCACTCCAAGTCAGAGCATGCGGCAAAACTCTAATTAATTGATTCAGAATGGCTATTCAATAAAACTTTTTTTTTACACATCTGGACCCAGTTTCATGCCCTGGCCTACACCATGTTATGGAGAAGTTTTTGATTGTTAGGCAAATAAGGACCGAGTTATGGGGACTTTCTGCTGTCCCCACAGCATTATGGTCCCCACAAATACCCCGTACAGACGAGGTTAGTTCCCCACAACTATGGTACAAGACTGTGTGGCTCTGCTTAGCACGCAATTTTCTGCTTATAGAGCCTCCATCCATATCATGGAGATCGTAAGCAAAAAGCACAGCAAAAGCATGCTTAACACCATGCAGAGGAAAAGGTTGCTCATTAAAATTAGTGACGTAACAACAGAAATCTCCATGCGCGCACAACTGTTAGCACACCAACGCCATGATGTAGTGCTTAACCCACGATAGCTTTGAAAAAAAAAATGTTCGCGACCCGAGCTGTTCTGACTTTTTAGCCTCGAGCCTTGCGCATCGTTTGATACCAAAAACATAAGAATTGGACAACGGGTTGCCGTGCAGCGAAATAAATTCCGGCACTGTGTGCCGTGAAAACTGAATTTTCCCATATGCCTAGTGTACATAGAGCAGAATTACAATTTGTGCATATAAATAATTAGTTAGCCATAATTCCAAAACCCTTCGACCTATAGCCATGAAATTTCTTGGGTATGTTCATGATGAGTTGTTCTATGCATGTACCTAGTTTCCAAATTTGTCACTCAATGGCCCACATCTTCCCTTCCCCCCCCCCCCCCCCCCCCTGCCTGAGAGATGATCAAAATAGCCCGGCCCTTGTAGGATTAAGGCTAGCACAATTTCCTGCTATAAACAAGCACAACTTTTCTGCTAACTGGTAAGCAGTCCCTTCCATGAAATTAGGCCCTGGTCTGCACAATGGGCCAGATTTAGCCTATTCGTTGGCATTACAGGGTAATACTATACGATAGCACTCTTTCTGCCATCCTACAACCAGTCTTAGTCACAAGTGACTGTCAGTCAGTCAGTCAGTCATAGTCGGGAGTCAGTCAGTCTTGGGGGAGTCGGGGAGTCAGTCGGTCGGGGAGTCAGTCATAGTCGGGAGTCAGTCGGGGAGTCAGTCGGTCAGTCAGTCGGTCATAGTCAGTCTGTCGGGGAGTCAATCAGTCAGTCAGTCCATCCGTTCGTCAGGGCGTCCCTTCTTACTATACCCTACTTGTGGGGTGATGTTCCTTTTAGGACACATCACCCCACTATTTTAACAATAGAAAAACATCACCCCAGAAGAGGATCTTTAGTAAAAGGGACAAAAGGAACACAATGCTATCACCCCACAATTCCGTATGGCTTGGATGTCTGTCCGTCCGCCAAACTTTCAGTCAGACAGATACAGATACAAAGAGGTCGTACGCTAGCCAAAATGCATTTAGAAGCCTAATTTATAAAACCGTTCACATGTAATAATCACTCTTAAGTTACTGTACACATACTTCCAAAATTGACCCCCCCCCCCACCCCTATGCAAAAGGAACACCATTTGCCCGTGTTTGTTGACTGCTTTCCCATAATGCACTGTGAAATTGGCATCTCCATGGTAACCTCATAGTGGCACAAGTATCATTATGAATTGCTCAGATTGTGCCTAGTTTTTCAAACAACAGAAACATGAAATCCATTGAGTCGAGGATAACTTGTGTCGTTATCTTTTACTTTATTTGTTGATTTCTTTTTCTTCAGATAAGCGGCTTATCACTTTCTGCAGTGGTTGAGGATCTTGCCGTGCTCTATCTTGCAACTGTCCAGGCCATTGCTGTAAGATAAGATTTTTTTAACTTTAAGAATTTGCTTGTCTGGGTGACATGTAATCAGCATTAGTTAAAATGAGGATTTAATTTTCTTTCCAAATGCACCTTGGATTATATCCAGAGCCACGAGACAGGATTTTTTTTTTTTTTTTATTTATTTATTTCAAATTCAAATCATGAAATACTCCTACAAGAAAAAACTGACTAGGCATTCCTTCTCCAAACCCACTACAATTGTCCACTCAATAACAATTACCACACAGTCCTGACAAAACCCAATGCTGGGGGCTCCATTTTTGTCATAAAAGAAACCTGTAAGATGGAACTAGAAAATGATTATCTCATTGAAAACTGTGATTTAACTGTATTAAAGATGACTAGCATTTCTGTTGCAAGTTTCACCCCCAAAAAATAGATTTTGTCTATAAATTGCTATTTTTTTTTTCAAGTAATGCAAATGTTATACACGTTGGAGTGAGACATCATCTGAAAAATATGAGTCATGGAATGATTTTTTGTTATGTTGAATTATTTGCTACCTGCCACAATGCAATAACAAAGTTCTTGCAGGGTACACTGGTTCCCGGCCCCTTTCCCAATTGATAATGTTGGGATGGGAACCAGTCTGGTCGCAGGGCCGATCTGTTTGTCCAAAAAGCAACCCAACATTAAAGCCTATTTCCAGAGAGGTGCAGACCACAAAATAAAAAACACATTTTGTGTGTGTGTAAAAGTAACAAAGTGTGTGAAAGTAATTTGTTAGGATGAAAAAGTTTTATTTTGTACAGCATGGGAATACTATTATTCAGTTTTCATCACGTGTGCGTTCGATTACTTCCCCCGCCCTTACTCGTGCAAGCGCGACAGCGTTCGATTTACCTGTCACGTGACTTCTCGCGCTTACTCAAGCCTGGCCCAAGTAACTGACTCGTCGAGCCGGTTACTTGGGTAAGTATCCCATAAGGCCATGCAACAAACATGGCTGCCAAAGTGACGTCCGGCGGGCGCCTCAGGCCGTGTCCGAAACTGGCTTCCAGAGCTACGGCTATACGTCTATTGTCAGCACGTCCCCACGTATTTTCAATGGGCGCGGACCTAGACCTAGCTCTAGACAGTGGATTCGGATGCAGCCTCAGTGTCATGTCAAAGTTCATTTTTCCAGCTTTTGCATGAAACTTTACCCTGAAACCGTTCGTTTATTTAGCTCCACTGTGCATGTCTGTCATCACGTAAGGAGCCAGGCGCGAGTAAGCTGGGGGAAGTAATCGAACGCACTCAACATGCGTGTGCATGGATACCCATTTCTTTTCTTTGTTCATGCAGCATGGCACAAGACACATCATATCATCTATGGATACTGCTGGTCATTGTATATCAACTTTGTATGCGTGTGGCGGACTCAGCAAAAACCCTCTGTTTGTGCAGACCCATGCTGATGTCACAGGTAACTGTTGATTATTTTTATTTTCCTTTTTTTTAATCGATAGTTTGCGTAAACTGACGCCGTCTTTCTGAAACTAGCAATATTAGCAGACTTGTATAAGCAGTGGTTGCCATGATACGGTTGTTGTGGAGGAAAGGGGATTGGCATAATTTTCAAAGAGGTTTTTTTTGTTTATGGTGATTAGAATTGCTGTATTCACATCATATTTTCGGGACAAATCGTGTGTGGTCCCATTTTCATTTGCCACACAAAAGCTAACAAAACTGGACCCTCAAAAAGATAACAATTTGGGGGGAAAATATAAAAAGCGTACAATCGGCCCGAGCGCGAGTATCATGCATACAGAGACCGCACGATCCCACACGTGATGTGGCTGAACATTTTGTGCAAACACGTTCGCATGCGGTGTGTCAAGTCCGAGCGGTAAAATCTCATTATGAATTTATTTAAACGGCAAATGCATACACAGACATGACAGAAAAGATCAAAATCACGTTCTGGGAATTACTTTGCAGTTATTCTTTTTCTACACCGATGTTTGGTTGGTATTTTCTACGATCCAAATTCGTCCTGTTACGCCGTGTAGTCTGCATGGCACCGTACGTAGGCCACAGTTACTGTTTCCAGTCCTACATCATAGCTTTGATTCTGTTCTGAACCAGCGATTACCGATGGCACTGCTGCCGCACAGAACATTGTACAGCGGCATGGCTTCGATGTCGTCCATTACAAATGCGTCAGAAATATAGGCATTTTCGTCAAGATTTATCGTGTCAAGATGAAATAATATCGTATGTAACGATTATATTGTGCATTTTAATGGCGTGTATAATATTATACTGTGCGTATCGGGGGCTGAAAGAAATGTGATCGACATTTAATTTCCTGCGTGAATCATTATACTGACAGCTCGGTCACTTCTACATGTACCACGCGGTCTGGGTAAAATTTTGCGTGTCGAAAGTCCAAGTGCGGACAGTGGTCACATTTGACCATTTTTCATGTTACCATCGACTCGGTAAAACCTTCCAAAAAAAAAGTCCAGTGCGGACACGGCTTAAGACCGGCTTTTAAAAAATCGCGCAAATCCGCTGATACGCCGAAAAGTTCAGCAGGAAGGAAAATAAGGTATTTTGATCAGAAGTTTTAAGTAATTGGTTAATTGATATCCTTTGGATGGCAATGTGCCCCCCCCCCCCCTTTTGATAAAATCACCCTTGATCAGGCATTTGTTATATATGTACATTTTTCTTATTTTTCAGTATGTATTGATGTATAATATTTCATCGTGTATTATCTACTACCCCTTTGTATCAGGCACTCCTTATATTTTCTTATACCGTTATGTTGCAGGATATGTTTGTGTTTTGTTGCTGCCATTCATTGTTCTCATTCATATTGCCTGAAAAAGGTGTACACAGAAGAGACAGCAGACAGCTCATAAGAATAAAGTGGACTTCCAAAGTCAAACCCTTTACTTAACGTTGATCAGAAATCGCTGTCCATTGTCATTAACGATTTGGCACAAAACAAAATTGTTTCTCATCTCTCATCGTGAAAATAAAGCCAGGAGCAGGATGGTTTTATTTTATAATCTTTTCCCCCCTTTTAGGCGCACACTGGCCTTCATGTAAATGTTCCCGGACCTGAAACAAGTCCAAGTTGTATGTTAAAAACAGTATGTAGCAAGCATTTTATATAGTTTGTACACTGGAGATATATGAATTTCAACACCGTGAAAATATAGTTTACAATGAAGTCGCCGTGAAACTTTTTTACACTGCCAAGTAAGTTCATTTTCACGGTGCCAAACTGGGCCCCTCAGCAGGGGATAAGCTCACTGCAGTTTCACAGTGTTTTTACATGGGTCTTCTTGAGGTCCAAGGGTCTATTGTTATAGTCATACATGTAACTGCCCAGCAGGTCCAGCTTTCCTCCACTGAAGGAGTGAAAACCACAGATTAATGGTCTGAGTGATTGCAGGGTTAGTGTGATTGACAGCTACACTTACTGCCCAATGCCCACTGTCCAAGTACACAAAAGCTACAAAGTGTCCTCCTACAAGTATCCAACACCCTGTTTATTGTGATCACCTAATTAAGATTGAAAGGCAATGCTCAACGGATTAACGCAACCACAAAGTTAATGAGCTGGGCTCCACAGGAGGCGTCCCTGCATTTTCATGTTGTTTTTACTTGACCTTAACATGTCCTGGTTACGTGATGATTTTCAGCACGATTTCAGCAGATACTTGCGATGACATTGCCGTGAAAAAAATTTCACGGTGAATTCATGTCAAATTATATATTCACTCCAAATTCACGGTGTTGAAATTCATAGTAGCCTACTTTTTTTTTCAAACTCTAAAGACTAGTGCCTGTTGTAATGAGAAACAGTGTTTTATTTAAAGCTATAGTCCATCATTTGTAATTTGTGCATTTTGTTCGTTTGAAGCAACAAAAGGGTTCAAAATCTAATGAAGGATACTGAACAACTAACCTGATGAAGTTTCAGCTAAGCTTCAGCTGTACATTCCGAGAAAAACAGCATTCTAAGATCTCAATTTCAAATCCAAAGTTACTGAATCATGTTTTTGAATTGTTTTGAATTGCAGCTATACGCGACGTCGCGCACTGATCCGACGAATTATAACAACCACGCGCGCGTGTGCGTCATTCCAATACTTGTGCGCGCTGCGCTGAATAACAAAACGAACTACTAATTTAAATTTTCCTACGGTGCTTCTTAAGAATCACCGTTGGAAATGCCTTCTTTCGTTGATTACTTCAAAATGACAGCTTCCCAGAAGGAATAATTTCACAGGGAGTTTAGTTCCCTTACTATCTTTCAACCAAGTTTGTTTTTCAACAATAATTACGCCAGTTACTTTTCGGATGGCTGCAAATGATGGACTATAGCTTTAAGGAAGCTTGCCAAGTTGAATATTGCAAATGCTTGTCAGTTACTGAGTCTGTGGCAGAAAGCAATTTAAAGTAGCCCTCAGTGTCAGTCAACCATGCCTCTGGTAATAACAATGTTTTGTTGGTGAAAATGTCTGGATCCATAATGATGACTGACAAATGGGGGATATTAATCTTTTTTGTCCGAGAGGATTGTCAGTGCTGTGGTTTTCATAAAGCTTGTCACAAAACATTTCTTCGTTGCAAACAAGATATTGAAACGATCCAGAGTGTTTGAGTACTTGATTTTGCTTTGGACGTTGGTGATTATAAATCACCATTGTTAAAGCACAAAAAAGCAAGCCTAAATATCAAGATGGCTGATTCTGAGAATGCAACTGCAGACTTTATGAGAACGCAATCTTTAGAATTGATGTCAATAGTCAAGGGTGTGATGGCAATGCTGCAGACTCTACTGATTCTGATGCTCAATCCTCTCTACTTGATTGTCATCCAGCAGGCTGTAAACATCCAACCCACAGCTAAGATTTTCATGGGATCTCTCCTAGTCTCTGACTTCTGCTACGGATTGTTTGTAATTCTCCCGTATGCAGTTCTCATATTTGTGCCAAGTCTAACAGTAGTAAACCTTTTGTATTTCTGTGCCAGCGTGTTTAACATGCAGTGTTTTCTCTCAATGCTTTTGCTAACTGTTGACCGGTACATCGCCATAACCAGGTGTCTTCATTATCCACGTCTGGTGACCCTGCGTAGGTCACAAATCGCTTTGCTTTGCAGCTGCCTGACTTCTATAGTTTCTGCAGTTTTCACTCATTTTTGGCAGGAGCTGATGATTTATGTCACAGCCAGTCTCGCGGTGCTTGCTGTAGCTGCCATTGTGATCATGTACGCACACATTCTGACAATCGCAAGACGCCAACAGAGGCGCATCGCCCAGGAAAACCAGCCGGCCCAGGAAAGAATCAACTCCAAGCCTTTCACCACAGTCATGATTGTCTTTGCACTTCTTGTAATTGGATGGCTTCCATTTCTTGTGGTTGCCTTTGTCTACAATAATGCTGAAGTCAAACCTGATTGGTCGGCAGTTGTTCTGATTTTGTTCAACAACACCAAGTGGCTGGATGGAATTGTCTTTTGTCTGAAAAATGCTGAATGTCGGCAAATTATTCGTAGCATGACATCCGTTGCCCTCATTGCTTTGACTCAGAAGTGCCAATGCATGCGTCCTAATTAAAACATAATATAAAAACTAAACTTAAAAATAAACAAAAGTGTAAGTTGTTGTTTGAAGATACACAGTTGTGCTCTATAAGGACATACTCTTTGTGGTCCTGTGAACGAAAGAGGTATACAGGAAGCGTGAACACTTTGTGGACTTGGGAAAACAGGTTTAGAAGCATTTTGGGGTTAGGTTTATCTGTTGCAAAATGAAGAGGAACACTCAAGGAAATCATGATAAAAAAAAATTGGTTTGAAAGAGTGTTCACAGTGCCAGTAAAAAAAAAATTCTCTGGTTTTTCTTAAAGGGTCCATGAAGTGCATATTTTTAGGAATTTATTTTGTGCTATTTTCTAATCCTCTTTAATTGAAGGAAAACTACTTGACATCCCTTTTTTGGTTAATTTGATTGAGGAGAACCCTTTTTTAAACATGTAAAATTGTCCATGCTTTTGCAGACAACTGAGGGCGCGGTTGCCGTGATGTCATTCCAGTAAGACACTGTTCATATTTTATGTTTTTCTATTGAAATTGTGAACCCAAAAAATTGCTCATTGGAAACATTTTTAGAAAAGTGTGCTCATTAGCTTACTGCCATGAACTGTCACAACAACAAATCACACAAAAAAACAACATATCCAAAATTCTGGCAACTTATTGTGCACAAACCAAGTGCAACATTGAGGTTTCCACGTGGTATAACATCACACTTTTTCTCACGAATATGGAATTTTGCAGTAGCATAAAAACCAAAGAGGCACCAAAATACCCTTGAAAACAGCAAAATGGAAATTCATAATATTCCTGTATTATGCGTGCGAGGATGAATTTCAGGCGCGCTTTGGCGACCCAATAAATTTG